TCAACAGACTTATCCCCCTATAATTTTTGCACTCTCTTTTATCCCTTTGCCTTTATACAAAGGACTATGCATGCTCTCTGCCAATCCCTAGGTACCTTACCCTCTTCCATACATTTATTAAATAATTGCACCAACCACTCCAAAACTATATCCCCACCTGCTTTTAACATTTCTATCTTTATCCATCAATCCCGGCTGCCTTACCCCCTTTCATTTTACCTACTGCCTCACGAACTTCCCCACACTCACAACTGGCTCTTCCTCACTCCTACAAGATGTTATTCCTCCTTGCCCTATACACGAATCACAGCTTCCTATCTTCATCAACATTTAACAATTCCTCAAAATATTCCTCCATCTTCCCATACCTCTAACTCTCCATTTAATAACTCTCCTTCCTATTTTTAACTGACAAATCCATTTGTTCTCTAGGCTTCCTTAACTTGTTAATCTCACTCCAAAACTTTTTCTTATTTTCAACAAAATTTGTTGATAACAGCTCACCCACCCCTCTCATTTGCTTTTTTTTTACATTGCTTCACCACTCTCTTAACCTCTCTCTTTTTCTCCATATACTCTTCCCCCCTTGCATCACTTTACTTTGTAAAAACTTCTCATATGCTAACTTTTTCTCCCTTACTACTCTCTTTACATCATCATTCCACCAATCGCTCCTCTTCCCTCCTGCACCCACTTTCCTGTAACCAAAACTTCTGCTGAACACTCTAACACTACATTTTTAAACCTACCCCATTCCTCTTCGACCCCATTGCCTATGCTCTCATTAGCCATCTATCCTCCAATAGCTGTTTATATCTTACCCTAACTGCCTCCTCTTTTAGTTTATAAACCTTCACCTCTCTCTTCCCTGATGCTTCTATTCTCTTGTATCCCATCTACCTTTTACTCTCAGTGTAGCTACAACTAGAAAGTGATCTGATATATCTGTGGCCCTCGATACAACATGTACATCCTGAAGTCTACTCAACAGTCTTTTATCTACTAATACATAATCCACAAACTACTGTCATTTCGCCCTACATCATATCGTGTATACTTATTTATCTTCTTTTTCTTTAAAATATGTATTACCTATAACTAAACCCTTTCTATACAAAGTTCAATCAAAGGGCTCCCATTATCATTTACACTGGCACCCCAAACTTACCTACCACACCTCTCTAAAAGTTTCTCCTACTTTAGCATTCAGGTCCCCTACCACAATTACTCTCTCACTTGGTTCAAAGGCTCCTATACATTCACTTAACATCTCCCAAAATCTCTTCTCTCCTCTGCATTCCTCTCTTCTCCAGGTGCATACACGCTTATTATGACCCACTTCTCGCATCCAACCTTTACTTTAATCCACATAATTCTCGAATTTACACATTCATATTCTCTTTTCTCCTTCCATAACTGATCATTTAACATTACTGCTACCCCTTCCTTTGCTTAACTCTCTCAGATACTCCAGATTTAATCCCATTTATTTCCCCCACTGAAACTCTCCTACCCCCTTCAGCTTTGTTTCGCTTAGAGCCAGGACATCCAACTTCTTTTCATTCATAACATCAGCAATCATCTGTTTCTTGTCATCCGCACTACATCCACGCACATTTAAACAACCAGTTTTATAAAGTTTTTCTTCTTCTCTTTTTTAGTAATGTATACAGGAGAAGGGGTTACTAGCCCATTGCTCCCGGCATTTTAGTCGCCTCATACGACACGCATGGCTTACGGAGGAAAGATTCTTTTCCACTTCCCCATGGACAATAGAAGAATAAAAAAGAACAAGAGCTATTTAGAATAAGGAGAAAAACCTAGATGTATGTATATATATATATTATATATATATGCATGTGCGTGTCTGTGAAGTGTGACCAAAGTGTAAGTAGGAGTAGCAAGATATCCCTGTTATCTAGCGTGTTTATGAGACAGAAAAAGAAAACCAGCAATCCTACCATCATGCAAAACAGTTACAGGTTTTTGTTTCACAGTCATCTGGCAGGACGGTAGTACTTCCCTGGGTGGTTGCTGTCTACCAACCTACTACCTATATATATATATATATACCTATATATATATATTATATTATATATATTAATATATAGGATGGGGTCCACCTCTGAGAAGTGGATAAAAAGGCTTGAAGGAAGAATATTTGGATTTCTTCCTGAAGCCGTTTGAATATTCCACTTGCCCTACCTCCCCATCTTTTCATTCTTTTTTACCAATAGGTATATTTTATTACATAATATGGTGCAAAAAGGTTTAAGAGATACATTGTTGATATAATGATGGCATATACAGTACATGAGATGTGAGAGATACATGTCTAGTACATATTGTTACATGATTGTCACTGATTATAATGCGAAAATCTTATCCAGCTCTTCAGAACTTGAATGTATGCCTAAAATACAGCAGGCATTACCCCTCTGAACAGCAGCACTGAGTCCCTGGAACAGAAAACTAGCTGCCCTGGGATCCCTAGTTACCCTGATGAGTCTTCTGCCTAGCTCCTTAAGGAACTTAGGTGCACTCTTTCCCCATGAGCCAAGGGTCTCTGAGCCTATGGGAACAAACGTATAATGATGGGCAAGTTCTCTATATTTTCTAGACTTTTGGGACTCTCTGAAGCTGGCAGCTGCCCCTCCTTCCTCCCTGGTGTATTGGAGATAGTTATCAGCCAAGGTAGATGCACATGTGTAGTCCCACGCCACCTGCTTACCGTCTGGCTAGGTTTGAAGTGTGATACCATCTGGACGCTTCTCGCTGCCATTAGATCTGCATAGTTGGGGTGGCTCCCTTACTGCTGGGCATCTGGCTGTTGTGAGGCTCCTCTTGATAATGTTATTAACCTCCTCATGTCTTGCAATCTTTCCCTCGGATTTACGGCGCAGAAGACCATGGTACCCGAATCTGTCTGCTGCTTCACTGCCATAAATACACCTGTGTTCGGCGAGAATAGGGGCGGCAAGTCGATGGGCGACACCAATGCGGATGGTCTGTGGGTCGAGGCGTGTGCCAAGGCTGGAGTTGTGAACAGCCAACAGAAAATCCCCTTCATGAGGAGCTCTCACTGCCAGGAGGCCGGCTGTATCCTTCCCTGACACACTCTGAAGCATTGTTGAGGCTATTTTCTCCGCTATCGGGCCACCCCATTGCGACTGTTTGTAGTTGTTGGGGGGGGAGCAGGTCTGGTTTCAGAGCCCGTTAGATTATCCCAGATCATGGCTCCGTCAATGAACTTTTGGTCCAGGACTCCAATTTTGTCCCTAAGATGTTCAGGGAGAATTGCGCTATCTGTGATGACTTGCGGACACCAGTGCCTCCTAGTCTGACTGGAAGTGTAACTTCTTTCCACTGCCAATCTCTAGAGTAAGGTTAAGTACTTTCGTAAAAATCTGAATCAGGATACTGTCATATTCGTGCAGTATAGGGCTATCATATGAAGGTGCACATCTTAGGAAATATGTCCAACCTGGGCAGACTCAAGCACTTTGTGAGAAGGTACAAGGTATATTGTTTTCAAAATGTCGGCCGTATCCCACCGAGGCAGCGTGACCCAAAAAGAAAGAAAATCCCCAAAAAGAAAATACTTTCATAATCATTCAACACTTTCACCTCATTTATACATAATCACTGTTTTTGCAAAGGCGCCCAGATACAACAGTTAAGAAGCATATATAAAGATATATAACATATCCCTCCAAACTGCCAATATTAACCCCTTCTTTAAAGTTCAGACATTGTACTTCCCATTTCCAGTACTCAAGTCCGGCTATATATAAATACCAGTTTCCCTGAATCCCTTCACTAAATATTACCCTGTTCACACTCCAATAGCTCGTCAGGTCCCAAATACCATTCGTCTTCATTCACTCCTAACACGCTCACACACGCTTGCTGGAAGTCCAAGCTCCTCGCCCACAAAATCTCCTTTACCCCCTCCCTCCAACCTTCCTTCTACAGATTTATACGCTCTCGATGTCATTCTACTTTGATACGTTCTCTCTAAATGACCAAACCACCTCAACAACTCCTCTTCAGCCCTCTGACTAAATACTTTTATTAACTCCACACCTCCTAATTTCCACACTCCGAATTCTCTGCATATGTATAAAACACATCGCCCTTAGACAGGACATCTCCACCGCCTCCTCGTTGCAGCATTTACAACCCAAGCTTATATATATGTACTATATATACATATATGTATTATATATATAATATATATATATATATATATATATATATATATATATATATATATATATATATATATATATATTATATATATATATATATATATATTGAATAGTTAGATAACTAATCTTAATATCAAGTAAAAAATATATAAATATTAATCACGTGATTATGATAATGGTATACAATACCAGACAAGTTGATAAGTAAGACACATGAGCAACAGTTAACTATATTCATTCCGAAACGATTCGCCTACACAGAAGGCTTCTTCAGTCGAATACAAAGGAGGCAGCAGAAGCTGTATGGGTGTAAAGACGATGTAATTAGTCCATCATTCTGGTAGACAGTTTCAAAAAGTTCTCTGAAATAATGTTGACGTCACAGATGAAACTAATTTGCCTTTGAAATTACGTAGATAGAAACATCCCGCCTAGAAGCATCTTACACCAGCATGTAGGTACAAACATCCATATTTTTAAATGCCATTTTTTAAGTTTTCCTAGAAGCTTTTTGCTAGTCTATGAAATGGGGTTTAGGCCATTTAAGTTCAGATAGATCAGCATTCGAATATAATTAGTAAACTGCTGGTAGTGTTAAAAACTTTGTAATATACCATTGCAGGACCAAAGGTCTAGCAAAGGTACATTACCCAATGAGGAAAAATTACTCACTATGACTTTGTCAGTGTCTCACATATTTTAAAGCAATGTGAAATTAGAGTTAAAACTGCCGGTATGTGGCAATATCATCCTCACTTTAACATAAAATCATTACTCACGGTGAGTAGATGAGAGGGGTAGGTGAGAGGGGTAGGTGAGAGGGGTAGCCACTGCTGATTACAACGTGGAAGCGTACTCAGTGGCTGGCCCTGGTAAGGTGAGTGTATATTGCTTCGTCTGCTCCAGTACTCTAATAATCACCTTTAATCTACATTTTCTATCAATGTTTTCTATTTAGTAGACATAAAGAAGTTCATTTTATCGCCTATGGATATTAACTTTGTTTTGAAAGTGTTATTTTCTCTGTTTGAACAGAATCAGACGACTGAACATTGTCAAGGTGAGGTCATCCACACGTGAGCAGCATCACTCCTCCTCACTGATCATGGCCAACAAAGTCGCTCTCACATCACTCGTCACTATGACAACTAAACATCTCAGTTCAGGTAATAATCTAATATATTTACATGTGACGTGCCTAATAAACTGAACTTGCTGAATATACCGAACTATCTTAAAAATTATACTCTTCCTTAAAACTTATTCGTTTTAAATAAATTTAAATTAACGTATTATATATATAGCAGACTTAAGCTCAAAAAATGCATTAATTTAATCTAGGTTAGGTGAGGCTTCTAAGTTACTTTTGAACTAAAAATAAAGATATAATATTGTTATTCAAAAAACATCTAGAACTTCAGGTAAAAATTTTTTTACCGAAAGTTTACTAATTACGAGAGTTGGGCTTATTCGGTAAGTTCTGCTTATATACAGCCTCTCCTTACTTACCGACTCGTTTACCGATAACTCGGAGTTACGACAAGCTCTCCGACGAGTCAGTATTGTAGGCTGTACGAAAACTTGGGTCATGGAAACTGGCAGAACAGTGTCTCAGGGTCACGCATCTCAGTCTCCTACTTACAGCCGCTGAGTACACTAGCCTCTCAAGTCTCCACGACTACATATTTGAACAAATTTGTAATTGATTTTTCACCCTATATTACAAGACAGAAGTGCAGCAGCACTTGGAAGAAGAAAGTGGAAGAAGTACAAAAAAACAGATCACAGTAAAGGGGTTAGCTGGTGTGTTCGTGTGTGTGTTTACAGTGTGTATCACGTGGTAGCTTAATTAAGAAATTATCAAAGATAAAAGTATATGTGTATTGCGAATATGAAAATTATTATTTTTTTCTGTGGAGAATTAGATGAGGGTTCTTATATTTATTAAAGTATTGCAATGTTTTAAAATAAAACAATAAAGTATGGAGTACATGAAACTGTTACAGTAAATGTTCGTCCTTGTGGTTCAGCGCAAATTTTGTGTATATTAATAACAATAAAGTATTTTTTTTTTTGGGGGGGGGGGGGGGGGGAGGGGTGTCACCTGCATCGTACTGTGGTCAGGTGTATATCAGCACCATTATGTTGTCAGGTGTATATCAGCACCATTATGTTGTCAGGTGTATATCAGCACCATTATGTTGTCAGGTGTATATCAGCACAATTATGTTGTCAGGTGTATATCAGCACCATTATGTGGTCAGGTGTATATTTAGCACCATTATGTTGTCAGGTGTATATCAGCACCATTATGTTGTTAGGGGGTATATCAGCACCATTATGTTGTCAGGTGTATATCAGCACCATTATGTGGTCAGGTGTATATCAGCACCATTATGTGATCAGGTGTATATCAGCACCATTATGTTGTCAGGTGTATATCAGCACCATTATGTGGTCAGGTGTACATCAGCACCATTATGTTGTCAGGTGTATATCAGCACCATTATGTTGCAGGTGTATATCAGCACCATTTTTGTGATCAGGTGTATATCAGCACCATTATGTTGTCAGGTGTATATCAGCACCATTATGTGGTCAGGTGTATATCAGCACCATTATGTTGTTAGGTGTATATCAGCACCATTATGTGGTCAGGTGTATATCAGCACCATTATGTGGTTAGGTGTATATCAGCACCATTATGTTGTCAGGTGTATATCAGCACCATTATGTGGTCAGGTGTATATCAGCACCATTATGTTGTCAGGTGTATATCAGCACCATTATGTGGTCAGGTGTATATCAGCACCATTATGTGGTCAGGTGTATATCAGCACCATTATGTGGTCAGGTGTTTAAACAGCACCATTATGTTGTCAGGTGTATATCAGCACCATTATGTTGTTAGGTGTATATCAGCACCATTATGTTGTCAGGTGTATATCAGCACCATTATGTTGTCAGGTGTACATCAGCACCATTATGTTGTCAGGTGTATATCAGCACCATTATGTTGCCAGGTGTATATCGCACCCCTTATGTGGTTTTGGTGTATATCAGCACCATTATGTTGTCAGGTGTATATCAGCACCATTATGTTGTTAGGTGTATATCAGCACCATTATGTTGCCAGGTGTATATCAGCACCATTATGTTGTCAGGTGTATATCAGCACCATTATGTTGTCAGGTGTATATCAGCACCATTATGTTGTCAGGTGTATATCAGCACCATTATGTTGTTAGGTGTATATCAGCACCATTATGTTGCCAGGTGTATATCAGCACCCTTATGTTGTCAGGTGTTTTTCAGCACCCTTATGTTGTCAGGTGTATATCAGCACATTATGTTGCCAGGGGTATATCAGCACCATTAGGTTGTCAGGTGTATATCAGACCATTATGTTGTCAGGTGTTATCAGCACCATTATGTTGTCAGGTGTATATCAGCCCCCATTATGTTGCAGGTGTATATCAGCACCATTAGGTTGTCAGGTGTATATCAGCACCATTATGTTGCCAGGTGTATATCAGCACATTATGTTGTAGGTGTATATCAGCACCCCTTATGTTGTCGGTGTATATCAGCACATTATGTTGTCAGGTGTATATCAGCACATTATGTTGTAGGTGTATATAGCACCCCTTATGTTGTTATGTGTTATATCAGCACCATTATGTGGTCAGGTGTATATCAGCACCATTATGTGGTCAGGTGTTATCAGCACCATTTTTGTTGTCAGGTGTATATCAGCACCATTATGTGGTCAGGTGTATATCAGCACCATTTATGTTGTCAGGTTTTATATCAGACACATTATGTTGTCAGGGTGTATATCAGCACCATTATGTTTTCAGGTGTATATCAGCACCATTATGTTGTCAGTTGTATTCAGCACCATTATGTTGTCAGGTGTATATCAGCACCCTTTGTGGTCAGGTGTATATTTAGCACCATTATGTTGTCAGGTGTATATCAGCACCATTATGTTGTCAGGTGTATATCAGCACCATTATGTTGTCAGGTGTATATCAGCACCATTATGTTGTCAGGTGTATATCAGCACCATTATGTTGTCAGGTGTATATCAGCACCATTATGTTGTCAGGTGTATATCAGCACCTTATGTTGTCAGGTGTATATCAGCACCATTATGTTGTCAGGTGTATATCAGCACCATTATGTTGTCAGGTGTATATCAGCACCATTATGTTGTCAGGTGTGTATCAGCACCATTATGTTGTCAGGTGTATATCAGCACCATTATGTTGTCAGGTGTATATCAGCACCATTATGTTGTCAGGTGTATATCAGCACCATTATGTTGTCAGGTGTATATCAGCACCATTATGTTGTCAGGTGTTTTCAGCACCATTATGTTGTCAGGTGTGTATCAGCACCATTTTGTTTTCAGGTGTAATCAGCACCATTATGTTGTCAGGTGTATATCAGCACCATTATAAAAGTGTTACTTTGTGGATGGAACAGTCACTGTGAGTCTATTTTTATACGTATTTATATAATTTTTATTTACGTGACTATCTATGTATATTTGTATGCATTGTTTTAAATTAAATATAAAAAAAATAAGAAATTATTCAACTCAGTGAACAAGGTATGTGGATGGTGGTAATAATAATAATAATAATAATAATAAATAATTTCTTATTTTTTTTATATTTTATTTAAAACCAATACAGCGTAACATAAAACGCTTTAATAAATAAAAAATAAAAAGGAAACAGTATGGATCTCAATCGTGAAGGTTCGTACACTGACAAAATAAACCCGACACAAATTAACTGACACAAAAGGATTGCACCTATATACTCGCAAGATATTGCTGTATAACATACAGCAATAACATACAGCAATAACATACAACAATAACATACAACAATAACATACAGCAAGAACATACAACAATAACATACAACAATAACATACAGCAAGAACATACAACAATAACATACAGCAATAACATACAGCAAGAACATACAACAATAACATACAGCAAGAACATAGCTACAAATAAACACAGTAACAGGATCATGAACTGAAATATATAAACATTCAATGACTCAGAACCTTACATATATATAAATTTTACATATAACATGACATATGACAAAGGCTCAATACAATAGAAAAGAATATATATTAGAAAATGTGTCAATCACATCCTTCGTATTAGTCAATAAACCAAAACCTAACATCATAATCTTACTAAAACATGTACATACTTATCCCTAACAATACAGCTTTACATATACGAAAATATAGATAAACATAAAAAGAAAACAGATTAGATCTCAAAACCGAAGGCTCATTACTGTTACACAATAAACCAGCTTACAAAAATATCAAGACACAAAAGGAATGCGTCTATAAACTCGCTAGATATGTGTGTATACCATACAGTTATAACTTACATCAAGAACATAGCTATGGAAACAAACCGGTATCAAGGTACTGGCCTAAATTATATAAACTTTAAATGAATGAAAACAATACATATATAAAGTTTTACATAAAGCCTGACCTATGACAAAGGCTCAATACAATAGAAAGGGATATACACACAAAAAAATGTTTCTCAAAATCAAATTAATCAGATGCACTGTATGCACAAAACAAAATAGTATATAAGTATATCTCAACATACAAAAACCTAGCACATAACATAAATACAAACTAAAAAGCACTCCATATCGCAAAGAACATATTTCTCAAGAATCGTGTCATTCAAGACTGATGCACATCCAAAAATACATAAAAAAAAAACCTTCGAGATTACACCTACATTCATGAAATATGTTATATAGATCATAACGAGTCCTCAAGCTCCACATCCACAAGTGGCACGATAACCACAAGATTGATGCAATAATGCATCAATGACAACCAGGAAACCAGTCCTTACCCACATTCACAACACTCTCACGCACCCCATCCCCAGGAGGTTAGCCCGCTGTGACCCCCTGACTCCCTCTCAACCTATGAAAACCCCTTCACTCACTCATCATTCACAGATTCACGAGAATTCCTAACGTTAGCATTCTATACCCCTCTGAGAAAACCTGATCCCACCTCCTCCCATTCAATTCTCTCTTACGACACATCGCACGATAGAACGTTATGGCAAGAACCCTCCTTCGCTCTT